GTCAAATCAGGAGGAAATGCCGTTCTCTCGCTGCCTGTTGCCTTAGCCTTTTTCGATTCTTCAACAGATCATGGCGCGATCGGTCTATTCCCAGCCAGCATGAAAACAACATTAGGACACGACTTCATTTTGCGCTGCAAAACAAATCAGGAGTGAAGGGGCACAATCGAGTGACCAAGTAACACAAATGAAGTGAGACATCTGAAGTGACAGATTCCCCAAACGGATGAAAGCAAAGCTGACAAAAATGGATATTTATGTAATTCCTTTAGCCAACAATGGGGAGAGAAAGAAGCAAGCTGTGGGTTATCAATCTAATTTATTTTTATATACTAAAGATAGAAGTCAAAATGATATTTTTCAACCCCCGACGCAGCCTCGAGAAAACGGCAGCAAGGGTTGTGCATGGCGTGTGAGAAAACTGCCAACCAACACACCATCTTTGTGCTTCTCGGTGGTTGTAACTTCTAATGTGGCTGTTGTTGTTGTTGTTGTTGTTGTTGTTATGGTTATGGCAACCTTTAGAAAAGCAGAGTTAATGGGAATAGACACACATGTACACACACAAAAATCATTGCAACATTTTGACGAACTCATTCAATATTTAATGCTCTGTGAGAGCCAGCATGGCATTGCGGTTTGAGTGTTGGACTATGACTCTGGAGGCCAGGGTTCGATTCCCAGCTGCCCCATGAAACCCACTGGATGACATTGGGTAAGTCACACTCTCTCAGGAGATTTGCCATGGCCTTTCTCATAGGTGGAGAGAGTGGGACTTGCCCAGGTTGGGTTTCCCAATGGGTTTCCGTGGCTGAGTGGAGATTCGAACCCTGATCTCACAAGAGTCCAACACACAAACCACAACACCATGCTGGCTCAGCACACTGCTGTTGCCATTTATTTCAGTGAGGAAAGGCTCAAGCACATATGCCGAGCCACTAAGGTCAACCTATACACCAAAAAGTGACAAATAGTATACAGAATAACCTGGAATCAATTGCTGCCCCACAGTGAGATTCAAACCAATGAATCCATGAGATTTACACATCTTTCAGTCAGTTGAGTGTGTCTACTCTTGTTTGTGTGTACGTACTGTGTGATTTCAAGTTGTTTCCAACTTAGGGTGACCCTAAGACAAACCAGTTGGGGGTTTCTTATGGCAAAATTTGTTCAGAGGAGGTTTGCCCGTTGCCTTTCCCTGAGGCTGAGAGAGTGTGACTTGCCAATATATGGAACCTTTTGTCAGGGAGCCCTAATTGGCTTTGCTGCAAAGCAATATCCAGGAGTAATTGTCAGTAGAGCAGCAATTGTTGAGGGGCATTTAATCCTTTTATCCCTCACCCATTTTGTGTTCTGTTGTGTTGTGATTGAAACACGTCCCCAGCTTGCTTCGCCTTTTTCAAGGATCCCAATACCTTGTTGAAATAGCGAGGTTGTTTCAAGATTTTATGCACACCAACACCCCATTTTGTCCACCACACAATGTGGATGGATGTGGCTCCATAGTAGGCTGCCTGTTTGTCAGTCGGTTGGTTGGTCTGATTGTATCACAAGGAACCCCTCAACTTCCATCAGAAGGGATTCCAGCTTTGCAATTGGCAACACAGACACCCCACAAGTCCCCCTTACAAACTGTACATTATTAACTCAGCGGGACGTGCTACATTTCATTTTCTTGGCCATTTCTGGCAGGTTGGACATGCCTCTCCTTGCCACTGCAATCTCCGGCACAAATTGGGATATCTATGCTGGCCGAATGGCTGTAATAAAAGA